CACCAGCCAGCCACAGGCATCCCTTCATGAAGGGACCCTCCAGATGGGGAGGTGGAGGCAGGCACCTAGAATGACAAGTGACAGCCAGCACTGCAGGGCCCGGGGAACACCACACATCAGTGCGGGTCGTTCTACTGCACTCGGCTGTGCACCACAAGGCCGCAGGTTCTAGTCCACCCAGAGGCGCCTCTGGAGACAGGCCTGGTGGTCTGGTTTCAGACACAGCAGTCACTGACAGCTTTCTAGGGCACAGCGCTCCTCAGACATGCCACATGCCAAACAGACTGCCGGACGACCGGTGGGTCACGACAGCCCCAATGGGCCAGCGTGCGGACAAGAGTCCACTTCTGGGGACACTGCGTCCTGCTAGATGCAGAGTCCTGCTGGTGAGGGTGCAGGGCCGGACCAAGGACCCAGGGCCAGGTCAGCATCCCCCAGGCTGTGCCTCATGGGAGGGAACCCTGCCCCAGAAGGCTGGGCAGAGGAGAGCCCCCAGCCCGGCTTGGCCAACACTCACAGCTCCTGCCGAACGCGCCGCAGCCGCGCCTTGGTGTCGGCCAGTTCCACCGCCAGGTGCTGCTTGTCCTCGCTGGACAGGCTGCTGGTGGGACTGGGCGTGGAGTCGGCGCTGGAGGACTGGAGGGGACTGGGCGGGTGCTGCGCCTGGAGGTAGTCTCGCTCCTGGGTCAGGTCCACGATCAGCTGGGGCACAGAGAGGGACAGAGGGCGGCGGGCGGTGGGTGATCCAGGCCCTGTGCCCCCCTGCGCCCGGCCAGCAGGAAGAAGATGCAGACAAGGCTCCCCGGGGACTGAGGAGCCGGAGGGAGGCCGGGGCACAGCGAGATGTTGACTGGGTGGGTGGGTGGAGGGGGAGCTCGGAGCTGTGGTTGGTGGGCACCCCCTCCCATGGGGGCCCTGGAGCAGTGGTCACTGGGAAGGCAGGGAGGGGGTGGCCAGGCGCAGGGCGGGGGGCCAGCTACCTCGGAGCACTCGTCCCGCTCGTCGATGAGCCTCTGCAGGTGGAGGACCATGTTCCGGGACAGGGCCTCCAGCTCCTCGGGGGCCACGTCTGGGAGCTCCAGCCACTGCAGGTCAAACACATTCTCCTGGTTGTGGGTCACCTGCGGGCACAGGGGAGAGCAGGCTGCAGGAAGGACCCGGGGAGACTCCTCCAGGCGACGGCAGGCACATCCCTTCGCTCCCTGACATGACTCGGCCCCTAGGGCAGGTTTGCGGCCGCACTCCCGCCACGCTTCCCTCCACCGAGCTCCGCCGAGCTGGTGCAGAGCCGGGTGCTGTCTCATGGAGATACGGACCAGAAAGCACCTCAGAGGGTCCCCCTTCAAGGATCCTCGGAGAAGGTTACTTCCTTGAGAGCAACACCAACTCGTGGGACATGGAAGGTGAGTCCAGGCCCAAGGCAGGTGGGAGAGAAGCTGCCTGTGCGATCATGCGGATAAAAAGCCACGACGCCAAGGTAAAGACGGCCACTGCAGGCCACGCAGGAGAGAGCTCAGAATCAAAAACCACGCGAGAGCCTGCCTGCGCCTTATTCTCGACCCCACGAGACCACCTGGTTTCCCCCAAGCAAGGCCCAGGCCTGTGGCACCAGGCAGCCCCTGAACAGACGTTTGTGGCTGGGGAGGCCCCCAGACCTACCAGGTGGAGCCCCGCCCTCCTACTTTGGGAAGCTGCTCTGTCCCCAACACAGACAAGCAGACACGACAAGGCCGGGGCCGTCCATTCAGAGCCGCCTGCCTCATCGGGGCAGGTGTGGACACAGCTGACCCAAGGTTTGGGGCAGACCTTGTCCTCCAGCAAGGTCAGCAGTTCAAAACCACCAGATGCTCCTCGGGAGAGAGATGGGCCTTTCTACTCCTGTAAAGAGTTCGTCTCGGACACCCACAGGGGCAGTTCTATTCTGTCCCGTAGGGCAGCGACTTCGAGGTTTGCATCCTTCGGGGTAGGGCAAGGCGGGGCTGCTGGCCTGCTCTGTACCCCAGGTTTGAGATGTCCTTCCCCACCCATGAGGGGGCATGGTCACCATCTGGGGCTCGGCCCCAGTGACACATGGTCACAACTGAGGGCCTGACTCTGCAGGGCTCTGGGGGGGCCTGGGCACCTGAACGTACTGAAAGCCTCCCTGTTATCAGATCAGCACAGAGGGCCCTTGTGGCTACAGCCTATGTGCATTTTGAAAAGCACCCTGTGGGCTGGTGCAGTCATTAGGTTTTATGTCAACTTGCACCCGTATGGACGTGTGGGGGTGGAGTCCACCCTGATGAGGCCTCCTTGGGAGGTGGCCTCTTTATGAGAGAGAAACTGGGCACTCCTCTCTCTCTCTCACCCTGTGCTTTTGTCCTTGCTGCGAGTTTGTGCCTGCCTCCAGGGGTGGCCTCACGTGGACCCCTGAACCTGGAGAGCTGTCAGTGCCCGCTTGACCTTGGAGCCACCTGGTCCTGCACCCAGAGGCCTGTGAGCTCCCTGTTCCTGCTTCCCCTCTCTGCGTCATCGGCCTGCAGCAACGTGAGTCTGCAGAGGGCCCAGGCCAGCACTGGGCCCACAACCTTGAGTGGGACGGGGCGGGGATGCTGACATTTAATGACTTCTTCATGCCAAGTTCCTCCTTATACATGTGCGAGGGTCGCTGGTTTCATTTCTTTAGACGACTCGGCCTCACACGGGGGTGGGGGCGGGGGCAGGAAGGACAGCATGCTGACAGCCAGCCGGTGCGTCTCACAGGACCCCCGTCCCCAGGGGGATGCCTCCTCAAAGCACACAGGCGACACAGAGGACGGTTCCAAGTCTCTGACACTGGCGGCTGAGAACACTGACCCCTCCTGATGCAGGAGGCTCCTCAGGTCACCACATGCCCGGCCCCCCTGACCCTCCCGTCTGGCCTGCTATGGGCCCCCCAACACCATGGTCAATGTGAGCTGCCTGTGCCAATGACATGCCCGTCCCTACGCCCGCACGTGTCTCATCTATGGGATGAGACTGAGGGCTGAGCCGTGGTCTCTCAGGTGAGTCTCGCATGCAGTTGTTTGGTGGGGGGAGGGGGGTGTGTCGAGGGGTAAATTTTCAGGTGGGGGCCCCTTGCACTGGCTGGCTAATTTCCGGGGTCCACCACCAGTGCCTCGATCTCTGGGCATGCTGGTCTTTGTCACGGTGGCTGCCCATCCCTCTGTCCCGTCCCTGAGAAGAACAGAGCTTCTCCCCGTAAAGACCAACACCCACCCCCACCCCTGCAGCTGAGTGACGCCTGCCAGGGAACATCTGAAGAGCCCGTGGATCCAAATCTGAGCCGAATCCACTTGACAGCTCTTAAAAATAGTCTGCGTCCATATTAGGCAAGGAAGGAAGGAGGGAGATATATGGAAGACGAGAGGGAGACAGAGAAAGAGGTGATTTCTGGAGTTGATTTTCTCCCCCGTTCTGTTCGCTGGCTGACGGACAGCCTTCTAAATAGCATCCGTGTCTATGGCGTCCAAACCCTAAATCAACCCACACCATCCATGAGCCAGGCACCCTCGAACCTCCCCTCATGTGGAGGGAGCATGCCTCCCGGTTGCCACTGGACCAGCAAGACCCTGGCCGGGCCCACCCTCGAAGCCTCCACCTACCTCCTGGATGTGGGCCACGATTCCAGCCTGGGTCTCAATGTCCAGCTGCTTGATCCGCTCAATAAACTCCTCTTTCCGCTCACACTGTGGAAGGGTTACGAACTGAGGCCACCGGTCACGGAACAGCCTGCCTCGTCCCCGGCTTTCCCTTTTACAGCCAAGACCATCCCCGCCTCCCACCAGCCCTCGCACGGCCATTTCTCTCGCAGGGGGTGCTCATCGCCTCCACTGTCAGGATGGCCTGGGGAACCCGTTGTCCACAGGCTCTTTCTCAAGCCCCATCCCAGACTGCGAGCACCAGGCGGGGACACTAAACCCTGAGCTGGGCCCGGGGACGTCATCTCTACGCCAAACGGAGTCCTGCTCAACTAGAAAGCCGCGTCCGAGAGAGCAGTGCCTCCTCCCGCTCAAACCCCTGCCGTCCACTCCAGGCCACCCCAGAAGACCGGGCAGAGCTGCCCCTGTGGCTAGAACCCTCTGCAGGACCAGCTGCTGTTGTCAGGTGCCACCGGATTGGCTCTAACCTATAGTGACCCCTATAGGTTTGATCTGCACAGCAGATCAAAACACTGCCTGGTCCCGAACCATCCTCACCATGGGTCCTGGCCCTGGGCCCACGGATGCAGCCCCCGTGTCGATCCATCTCCCCAAGGCCCGTCCCATTCCTCTTGTTCGCTGCCCCTCGACTTTACCAAACATGAGGTCCTTCTACAGGGACTGGTCTCTCCTGGCAAATCTGCCCAAAGTATGTTAAGATACAGTCTCGCCATCCTTGTCTCTAACGCGCACCCTGGCTGTGCTGCTTCCAAGGCAGATCAGTATGTCCTTCCAGCAGTCCACAGCACTTTCAATAGTCTTCTCTAGCCCCACAATTCAAATGCAGCTATACTTCGATGGTTTCCAAGTCTCAGTTTCCAAGTCTCACATGCATTCGATGCCATGGAGACTACCATGGCTTGGGTCAGACACAGCGTGGTCTTCAAAGTAACATCTTGCTCCTCAATGCTCTTAAGAGACCTTGGGGCAGATTTACCTAATGCCATAGCTCTTTTGATGTCTTGACTGCTGCTTGCAGTGATTGTGGAGCTGAGTAAGACAAAGTCCTTGACAACTTCAACCTTGCCTCCCTGTGTCAGGATGTTACCTGTTGGTCCATTTGTGAGGATTTGGGTCTTCCTTACACTGAGTGGTTATCCAGACTGAAGGCTACAATCCTTGATCTTCATCGGCAAGTGCTTCAAGTCCACCTCACCATCATCTGCCTATCTCAGGTTGTTAATAAGCCTTCCTCCCATCCTGATACCACACTCTACTCCACAGAATCCAATCTGAGGATCTGCCCAGTGTATAGACTGGTGAGAGGATACAACCCTGACACCCACTGTTCCTGATCTTAAACCAGGCGGTATTCCCTTATTCTGTTTGCACAACTGCCTCTCGATCCATGTACAAGTCCCACACGAGCACAATGCAGTGTCCCGGAATCCCTTTGCACAGCCACGAGACACATGTAAACCTCTTTCTGGTATTCTCTGCTTTGAGCCAAGATCCATGTGACATAAACAGGGATCACTCCTGTTCCACGTCCTCTTCTGAATCCAGCCTGGACTTCTGGTAGTTCCATGTCAAGGTGCTGTAGCAACTGTTGCTGGGTGATCTTAAGTAGGCTGGTGGTTTCCAACTGCGAACCTTGTGGCTCAAAGCTGAACGGGTCACTACAGCGGCTGGAAAGGTTTGGTGATTAGCGTGGGGGCAGTGAGCTAGCTGAAGGTGATACTATTCAGAAGATACTATTCAGGAGAGGTGGCACAGCGCGACAAACGTCACTCATGTCACTGAGCTACACACGCAGACACTGTTGAAGGGGTGTGTGTCTTGCTAGGTAGCTGTGCACCACAGAGCCCCGGTGGTGCCAAAGCCACTAACCAGCTGTTCCGAGGGGGAACGAGGCGGCTTTCTGCTCCCGACAAGAGTGGCAGTGCTCCCTGTCTGACAGCATCCATCCCTTAGGGGTCAGCATCGACTCAAGGGCAGGGAGCAGTGGCAGCTTCACCAAAACAGAGAGAGAGCCCCCCATGATTTAAGCCACAAGCCGGCTAACTTCATCCGTAAAGGACAGATGGTAAGCCTCTTGGGCTTTCTGAGCCATTCGGTGTCTGACACTATATTATTTTGGTGTAGTGTCTATGCAGCCTAGGACGATGGCTGGCTGTATGCCGATAAAACTTTATGGATGAGCATGACTGATGGACCAGATGTGGCCCATCGGGTGGAAGTTTGCTGGTGTTTGTTTCGATGTGTCCCAGAATGGGGACAGGCGCTCTGATGGCGCAGTGGTGAAAGAGCCTCATTGCTGACAGGGAAGGCCCGGGGCTTGAACCCACCAGCCGCTCCCCAGGAGGAAGATGAGGCTGTCGGCTCCAGTACAGATCTACGGAAACCCACGTGGGGCAGTTCTCATCTGCCCTACAGGATCATGAGTAAGAATCACCGTGGTGACAGACAATGGAGTCTGGGTTTTGGATTTGTGGGGCTGGAACATCTGGCCTCCTGCCCCAGGTGCCCTGGTGTTAGAAGTGGTGGCCACCTGAGGCGGCAGGCCCAGCAGCCCAGTGGGTTCGGTCACGTTGGCCTGAGGCAGCTTCCTCCTGTGCAAGGAAGCATTTTGTTCCCCTCAAATTGAAACACAAGGCAGTTAGCAACACACCCCTCCTCCCTGCCAGCCCACCCCCACCCCAGCCCTACCTGGACGGCGCAGCCCAGCACCAGGAGCAGCACCTTCTTCAGCTCCTCCACGCTTCTCCCTGGGGCAAGAGCGCGACACGTTTAATCACACCCACCTGCACGCACGTTCCACCCGTGCTGCACATTCGCTGCGGGGAAGGCAAAGCCCGTGTCAGCAAAACAGCAGCCATCCCGCGCTCAGGGCGCCCCCCACCGCACATACACCTGTGCTGTCTTCCCAGGTGCCCTCTCCTCGGTCTCTAGTATCCGCTGCCCGTTGCAGCGGCGACACCAGATCAGGCAGGACTCAAGGGGAAAGGGCTTATTCAGGAAGTCACAGACTGCACTGTGAGTGAGACACGCTCAGGCTGCAGTTGATCATCAGCGCCCGTCACAAAGTTCTTGCAGGGCTGCACTCAGCTCCGTTTGCGAGGAGCCGCAAGCCCAGGAGCCCCGTCCCCACCCCCAATTAAGTGCCCGGCAGCACCCTACTCCACAAAGCCAGCCAGCTTTACTTGCTCCGTGGGCTGGGAGGCCCACCACTGTTTCAGTGCTTCGGCTCCTGGATGTTGTCTTCCGGATCCAGGAGGCTCACTGTGCAGGAACCTCGGGGCCAGGTGACTCGCTCCACTCCTGCTCTTCCTTGTCATGAGCTCCCGCCTCATGCTTCTCTGCAGGCTCACTTCATACCCAGCAGGATGCACTTTGGGAATGACCAGTCCCACTTGTTTAAAAGAAACCTCCAGAACTCCCGGTTCTAGGCCCTACATGGTCACCCAGCAGCGAGGTGACCCAGACAAGCAGTCAAGTGGCTCCCGTCTCCCAGCCTCAGCTGCTACCTCGGTAATATGGGGACACTGGCTCCCCCTTTCAGGTTGTGCAGGTCTCTGGCCCCCTGCCTTTCTCACTATGCGGCGTGGCAGAACCAGCACTGCTGTCGAGAAAGGCTGTACTCAGTCCCCGTGTGATGAAGTGGTCTC